CGGAGCGGGGGATGGGGGGGGGAGGATAGTGTGTGAACACCGGCGACTCAAGTCGTATTTTCCTCGGGTCCGAGTTGCACAACTGCGTTATTTCTCCCTTTTTTTTTTTTTTTTAATTTTCCCCAGCCCTCCTGGGCAGAGTCCAGCGATTTCAGCCACGGAGGCATTTAAATCCTTTAAGCTTGGTGGGGTTTGGGTGAAGAATGTCTCAAGCCCATAGAAGATCCTCCAGACATAGCTCAGTGAATCCGACTGTATCTGAGGAGCCTTGTGCTTTCTTATCTGCGATATCTGGGTAAACATCCCGTCTACTTCTGCATCCCTGGGCTGTATATGATGTAGTCCATTTATCAACAGGGGAAGCAACACAAAAAAAAACAGATAGCTCAGTTTTTTTTTTTTTTTTTGGCAGATCAATAGACCTCGTTCAATGAAATGAGGCTGGTGATAGGAGAAATATTTATAAAGTTCACCCCCTACCAGAGAACTGTCAGAGAGACTTGGAGACCCCACCGACGGGTTTTGCTGTTAAAAAAAAAAAAAAAACAAGAAAGGATGTGTTAAGTTAGTTCGTGGATAAGAAGATGTGACTTTGGGGGTGAAAGGGATTCTGATTTTTCATCTCAAAAAAAAAATATTATTCACACATTGCTTTCCTGCCCATTTTTTAACGTGCTTCGTGAGCTTTTCGTGCAGGGAAATGCGTTGCCATCCCGTCCAAGTCTGCCTCGGGAATAGACCTCTACCACTGGGCTGAAGTACACTTTAATGCACACCTAATCTCTTTGCAATCTCTCAATGGCTTTCTAACGACCGCCGGCAACCCCCGAATTGCACACATGTATGGGAGCAAAAATGCGGCTACTGGGTTATTGTCATCCCAGCCTGAGAGAGGAGAGAGGAGAGGAAGGAGAAAAGTTTATGTATACATAGTACTATATAAAATACATAGTACTTTATAGCCAGGGAAGACCAGGATGTTGCACTTTCGAGATGTTTCAAATAGCACTTCCCAGCTGGGGGAAGTAAAATCCAGTTACATGGGTTTTATGCACTTTTCGCCTTCTCACCCTAGGAAAAGAAGAGCCAGGAGCGTTTCCCAGGGCAAGAGAAGACTCTTAGCAGTGATCGAGATATTGCAACTTTTTTTTTCCCCCCCCAGAACTGACACTTCCACGAGCTTGTCATCATCAGCAAAATTACCCTTTTTTTTTTTTTTTTGCTGTTCTTTAATCAAGCCAGCAGTGAAATACCCATGTTCAGACAGTACTGCTTTGGCCAGGGTGGCAGGAGGTTGAATTCTTCCCCCCCGCCCCTGCGTTATTCACCTCCACTTATTGTGGCTGAGCCAAGGTTTTCCTGATTTCCTTACAGGTTAAAGATGAGCCTTGGTTTCGAAGTGTGCCAAGAGGATTTGAAGTATGAAATGTTAGTCAGAGCACACTCCTGGCCCGACAGCCAGGATGTGCACGTATGGGTGATTTTAAATAAAGACAGAGCACTTTAGGCAACATAGTCCTTTTAAAATCTTTTTATTATTATTATTATTATTATTATTATTTTCCTAATGTCTCACGTATACAATACAAATCCACGGTGTCCAGAATTTATTTTTCTGGCGGAAATTGCTACATTCAGAGTTTGAACACGCAGAACTATGCTTTTACATAAAACAAATGACGATTTTTCTTTTGTTTCGAGCATGTTGCATTAACAGATAAGTCAAGACAAATAGATAACTATACATTCAGTGCAATTTAGTTCTACACTACTTTATAAGCACAATAAAATAATACAATACTGTGCGTTCTCAACTAGGCAGTTTCAGTTGTTGGGATTTTTTTTTTTATTTTTTATTTTACCAAGAAAATAAGCAGCAACAAACGACAATAAAACCGCATTACAAATACTTTCAAAGCATGATTCCTTCTATAGGTAGTGATAAAGTACAACACAAGGTTGGTGGTTTATTTCTTTTTTTTTTCTTTTTTTTTTCCCTGCTACTTAGTAGCTTGCATCAGGGCAACAACGCAGCTCGCTCTCGCTTAAATAAATTCCGACCAAGTTAAATTTAGGATACGTAAGCCCCTTGCTGATAATACACTGGATAATTATTATTGCAGGTTTTCCCTTTAGGTAGTATATGAAGAATTTCGAGTGCTCACACAGTCAAATGGTAAACAGCGCCTATAGAAAGGAGGAGGTTGCCAGCCTTCCTATTTTGGCCTATCAAGTCTTAGGCAAATAGGTATTTTCTACATACAGCCACAGTCCTATAGAAATGGATGTGTGTGTTGGGGGGGGGGTGTTTTTGCAGGCTCTCCCAGGTAAGTTCACCCTCCCAGCTCCTCTTCTTATCTCGCAGGGGCTGCAGGAGTGGCCCCTACCAGTGAATAGATAAATGGCTCATAGCAATGGAGATGCGCAAAGATACTACACCAGCTAGCTAGGGGAGCTGCAAGCAGCATCACGCTTTCCCCCCCAGGAGAGAGAGAGAGAGAAAAAAAGAGAGAGAAGGAAACAACAAAAAAATAAAAAATAAAAGGAGCAAAGTCCAGCCTGCGAAAATAAAGACATATTCTGCAGCCATTCATATGTGCATGGGCACAGGCGGGCGCAGAGGAAGTAGTGGAGGAGCAGTGACATTTGCTGCCAGGCTTGGGATTGTGCTGCTGGGGGGGTGCTTTTGCTGGATCATTTTATTGTATATATTTTTTCCCCTGCTGCTGCAGCCAAGTCAGCTATGTATTTATGGAACTAAAAATGCAGCTATCAAAAAAAAAAGTAGGGGAAGTTTCTATGACAATAAAAAAAGGCTACAACTGTTTGACAGGTAGTTACTGCTGTGTGAGCCTCTCCATTCTATACTCTATAAAAGCAAATGACCGTCGTAAACATCTCGATTTATCATCTGCCATAAAACGAGACTTCAAGGGGCTGAGAGCTCAGTCCTTGCTTTCTTCTTTTTCCTCCTCTTCTTTTTCCTCTTCTTCGTTCCCTTCTTCTTCCGTTTTCTCCTCGTCCCTGGCCCCCGGCAGCTTATCTTTGTTGTTTTCTTTTTTCCACTTCATTCGCCGGTTCTGGAACCAGATCTTCACTTGTCTCTCGGTCAGTCCCAGGGCGTGAGAGACCTCAATCCGCCGCTTCCGTGTCAAATATGGGTTGAAGAGGAACTCCTTTTCTAACTCCAGGGTCTGGTACCGGCTGGTAAGTTGC